AAGAAAATTCATCATGAGGGCAAATCATCTTAGATATATTGAAGACCTTTTGCAAAGCGTCATAACGGGTTTCTCACTTTCCAGCCTTGATAGAATCCAAAAGCACTTATGCGTCTTTGTGGTCGATGAATTATTTTCAAGTCTACAACCCTCCCCCCCCCACTCACAGATGACACCATGCTTGTCTCTCGCTTTTCTGTTGCTAACTTTCATGACAAATATTCAGACAAGCTACATTCTTTAGTTCCACCAGTTCAGTTATTATCGACTATGCTACGTACAGAGTCAAATTATCTCCATTTTCATATTTTATTGATAAGAAAAAAAATTTTCACCACGCTCCTTCTCATGAACATGGAACAGACTCCAAAGCAGATGTTTCCCTAATCACTAAAATCTGAACCCTGTCAACTATTATTTATCTTATTATATATCCTCCTAAGTTCATACAACAGCCTCCTTCAGTAACTCTCTACCTTGAGTGGCTCTTAGGTTTTGTATTGGGTGATGGTTTAGGATTAAAAATGTACTACAAACCCTTTCATCTCTCAGCATCTTCATAAATTCTCTCCCATGTTATGATTTTTATGACAATTGCATCTTATATATATATATATATATATATATATATATAAATAAACTGATAATCACTTATAATTAGCATTTAAGACAAAAAAAAAATGTTGAACATTTTCTTTTACTGGCTCCAAATTAAATGTGTACATAAAAAAATTACTCTAAGTTTTGGATGTGTTGTTATAAAAATAATTTATGAAAATTTAGTATACATTGGAAATTTTGCTGCTATAAAAAAGTTTTGCCATCTCTGGTAATGTTATTTACATTTGTGTAGAATAATTATTTATAAAGAAAGAGTTGAACAGACTGAACAATTTGGAGAATAGAAAGGAAACTTCAGATGACAAATATAAATATTGGGTTTGGCCAAAATGTGTGTTTCATTATTATGTAGAATATTTTCTTAAGCTGAACAAAATTTTTAGATCAAGCGCAAGATATATCAGCTTCTTTATTCAACCATTTCCTAAAAAAGGAAATGTGAGATCATTTAATCTGATCACATTTACTTCTATTATAATGAGGTTTAATCCTTATGACCCGTCTTCCTCCCTCCACTGGCCATCACAATTGATTGACAATGTTAACATGACCATCTTATATTTCATTTATTTCTTCTCAATGTCTTTGGGATACAAAGTTGTCAAACAATATATATATCTTTCATTTAGAAAAAACTGTTTGAAGTTTTTGGCTTGTTCCCCAGTAAGTTGCTCTTTATCAATTGACTTCAGACATTGATTTTTCTATTTGCCTCAAGTAGACTTTCAAATTACCGAACCATTGCCTTTCCTTTTCAAATGATGACATTGTCTTTTGCTTAATTGGACCATTTAAGATGTTTTCATTTCATTTCTACACAATTTCTTCATTAGAATCTCTTTACTTTCTCACAACAATGTCAGAATCAGCATGAAAATATTCACACATACAAAAAAAAAAATATCAACACCTTCAGGTTTCACTATTATGATTACTAGCAGAGTACCTGTCAAAAATGATTATTTATGTAGGAATCATCACTTCTAATAAGAAGCAGTTGAGTATTTATGAACTGGGAAAAGTCACACACAAACGTACACAATATATAAATTTTATAATACCTCATTCTGAAATTGGTTCCAAACACTTATTTTGTAATTCTACAAAGCAACATAATAAGAGTGAAAATGTTTCTTTGAAGAAGCAACTACCAATGGTTGTTTGTCAAATGTTATCAGCCTACTGATTGGGATTCATTTTGTGACTTTATTCAAGACATCCTTTGGATTGATATTCTTAACCTTCTTTATTAAGAATTGTGCTACAGAGGCTTCCTCTTTGGCTAAAGCCAGCATTGATACTTTTATGCTTTCTTGCAAATATCAAGTAAAACCACAATCTTCTCCTTGGTTCACAGCCTGTTCAGCCACTGTAGCCCATAGGAATCATTTTTTCTGAGTGTACCATGATAATTTTGATTACAACAGACAGTTTTTTCCGACTGCTCAAAATAATTGTAAATGTGTTCTCAAAGAGACTGTCTGTTTGCCAATAGAATGAGGCATCATATAGCCTCTAACAAATTTGGTTCACATGATTACTAGTAGTTCTGTAGTGTGTTAAATAAGTTTTTTTATCCGTCCTCCCTTCATTCAATTTCAGGTTTTAACACTTTCTACTGATAAAGCAGAAGGTTTTTCCTTGAAAATTCTCTTTCAACTCTCGACTCATCTGGTGTACCTTTGTTCAACTTTCCACTTATAATTGAGTCTCTATTGAGTGATATGCATATAACTCCAGCCATGATTCCTGCTGTCATTTTTAAACTGGATCCTCACAAAGCATGTGTGGACTTGATTGTATCCCTGCAGTAGTTCTTAAGAAATGTATTCTTGAATGGACTCCTGTTCTTTCTAAACTTTACTTTTTTTTCTGCTGCTTTTTGCTTTCCTGATTGTTGGAAATCCTCTTCTGTAGTTGCAGTTTTTAAGAACTCCAGTAAACAGTCTGATTCTTGTAACTATTAGCCTTCTACTTCTTTTTAGCAAAATACTTCTAATCAACTTTGAATTAGTTAAGCAATTAACATCGCAGGGCCTTCTTTCAAATAAGCAACATGGCTTTCACTTAGGCCAACTGCTGATGTATTAAGGATTATTGCTTAAAGAGTGTATCAAGCTTTAGATAAGTATGGGGAATCTCAGGCTGTTGCTTTGGATATTGGTTTGGTATACTAATCTTTTTCATAAGTTTAAAGGTTATGGCATTTCTGGACCAAATTCTAAATTTTTCTGCATTTTACTCCAAGCAAGGCAATAAAACCACAAAATGGGTTACTGAGTGTCAGAGAAGATTAGAAAAAATACTATTAAGGAGAGAGAGGAGAATAAATAAATCGTATTAATGAAATAAGAATAAAAGTGGCAAAATTAAAAGAGGTCTCTAAAGTCAACTGTTGATGTGTTAACAATTATTGCTGAAAGAGTGTATCAAGCTTCAGATAAGAATGGTAAGGCTTCGGCTGTTGCTTTCAACATTTTGAAAGCATTTGCAGAGTTTGGAATACTGGTCTTCTTCACAAGTTGAAAGGTTATGGTATTTCTGGATGACTTTTTGAACTGATTTGGTTTTTCTTATCAAATTGTGAAATGAATGTTATCTTGAATGGCCAATCTTCTAGATCACTTTTACATAAATGCAGGCATCCATCCAGCACCATATCCTTGAACCTATGTTGTTTCTAATTTTCATAAATGACTTTCCTGATGTCATCAGCTCACAACTTGGTATCTACACTGATGACAACTATTTACACTTGCCTTAATAGTAAATCTGATCAATTTGATAAAATCAAATTAGCATATGATTTAAAAAAATGACGTATAATGGGCAAGAAGTGACTTGTTCATTTTAACACCTCAAAAATGAAACTGCTCTCTTTTAAATATCTGAGAGAATCCTTTTTACCTTTCATCAGCATTGTTAACCTTCCTGAACAGTGACTCACTTCTCAGATTAATCTTTTCAGCTGACATGAAGTGGAAAGAGTATATTGAATCAATTGCTAAGCCTGCAGCTATGAAAGTTGGTTCACTGTGTTGTACTAGACAATTTTTCACCCCCAGAATCTATCTTAACATTTCTATAAGTCTACCATTCATCCTTGCTTTGCATATTTCTGGCATATTTGGTTTGTTGCTCCTGCTATATATTTAGAGAATCTTGATAAAATCCAAAGAAGAATTTGCAATGTTTTTGGTTCTGACCTGTCATCTCAGCTTCAGTCACTTTCCCACATAGCTTTCTTGTATCTTTTCTATAAATATTTTCAAGGTAATTAATCTGATGAACTTTCCTCTAGGGTACCTAGACTTTATGAAATTAAGTACAATACTATATTGGCAGCAAGGGTCTCATCATTGTTACTGTTGAAATGACTAGGATGTAACCCTAAGTTGTATGCTAATAGTTTCTTCTATTGCACTTCTTACTCATGGAACTCCCTTCTGGTTTCTTGCTTCCTAGTCAACTTTGATCTTCAAAAATTTAAATGCAATATAAAAATCATTATCTACTGTTTTCTTAATTTTTTTATTTTTATTATTATTTGTTTTCCTTATTCTCATATTCTCTAACACTCGGTGACCTCTTCCATCCTGGTGGCTTTATTGCCATTTATTCAATATTGTAAGAAAACAAAAAGAAACATCTCAAAAGAAATTTTTCCATGATCTTTCCTCAAATATTGAAGAGTATGTAGACAAATGTGCCTCAATGACTAGCAATCTGGTTTCAGAAGTCATTACTGTTGAATAAGGAAAAGGTCAGTCCTCACTCTCTAACCTCACATTATGTACTTACTAAATACAGACATAAAAATATATTCATATTGCAAAATTATCTATTGTTGAAGTCGTTGCCATTGATAGGATTTCATAATCTCAAGATGTGATTAAAAACTGGTAGGACATCAACAGGATTATCACATTACATGTATTTTCTCTTTTTTTTTTTTCTATTACTTTATTATTACATAAAAAGGTGGTAGCAATTGTATAGTAGTCACTCCAACAGATTTGTTATAATACCATAAAAAAGCAGTGCAAAACTTATCCTACGAAAAACTGCTCTAGACTGTAAGCATATTAGTCTCGTATCATTTCTGTCTCCTTAAATGACTACTCCATCTTTGCTAATGAAACCATCCATCTTCAGGACAATGTCCAATATATTACAGTGGATCAAAAATTATTTTCTTACAACTTGTCGAGGATCCACTCTTTTTTTTAAATGCTATTTAGTAGATGAGAACGTTACGTCAAATCTGAAATTATAATTAACAACTAATGGTCATTAAATTCTGGATTTTATTTCAAGAGACAACAGTTCCTTGTATTTATTTGTTGTCCTTTATTTTATTTTTCTCTTTTATTCTTTAGCATTGGTTTGATAATGGCAAACCCCATTCCTTCTGGGTGTCTGGCTTCTTCTTTACCCAAGCTTTTCTCACTGGAGTCATGCAGAATTATGCCAGAAAGTACACCATTCCTATTGATACCCTGGCATTTGACTTTCAAGTAAGTAAACTCATTTGTATTAAAACAATTTTTGTTCTGCTTCACAATTCAGTTTAGAAAAATGAGAATCTCTTCTGAATGAAAACAACAACTCAAATATTCAGCCTTTGAGATTTTGTAGTTTGTTTTTGTTAAGATGAAGCATTGTCTTCCATTTATATATTCTTGAGGATTTTTTAAGCCATAAATATTCAGATTTTTAATCTACAGCCATAAGTAAACACACGTAGATCACTTCAACTGAGGAGTTGCAATAAAAGAAATAATCATCAAAAAAATTAATAGTTGACATCACTACTTTATCCAACTGTAAAGCTCATATATGTTAGAGCAGAGGTTACGAGAGGTGGGTGGGGGTGTTTCCTGAGATTAGAAAAAAAAAGAAAAAAATGAATGAGTGTTACCAAGAACTTTTTTTTTCTTTCTTTCTTTCATTTCCAATCAATTCTGCTGATTAATGGTCAGATAGATAATCTGGATAGTTACAATAAAAAGAAACTTCAATTAACATTAAAGAAATACTTGTCAATAATTAATAACGGTCAATTATGCTTTAGTTATCTTCCATCATAGATGCTTGATAAAAACATTTATCTAACCAATTTTCATGTTCCCAATTGAATTTAAAATAACAAGTGTTTGATTTTACAAATAGCTTAAGAACTTGTCACAAAAACCGTTCAACACTCTTTGGATTTGTTTTTTTTCCAATTATGCCTGGTATAAAAAAAAAAAGCCAAAAATAGATTTGTAAATGGTTAATAGGAAGATCATGGTGTGTCTGTAATCCTTTAAAATCAGCTGCCAAAATCTTGTTAGTTTTCAAGTCCAAGTCAAAATGTACTACTCTAGCTTTAAATTTAATTCATTCCACTGTTGGACATAATTTGTTTCCTCCAGGGATAAAGGACTTTGATTTTATTTTCATTTTTCTCCATATTGCATCAAAGTTCCACTGAAAGAAGATAGTGTCATGCCCTGATTTTTTATTTTGCACCCTTATCTTCCATTGTGCTAGTTGCCTCCCCCCACCCTATGTGAGAAACTTTTTTGAAACTGATTTTTTTTTTGGGGGGTCCTTTTGTTTCTCCTTGTGTACAAATTTTAGTCACAATTTGATCAGGTTCTCTTCTGTTGGGGGAATAAAGTTTAGTAGCAAAGAAAATTCACTTTACAGTTTGCATATAGAAAATTCTCTAACATTTCAATAATAACCAGAATTACACAACAAGGCTGTAAAATCATAGCACTATAGAAAATGAGGCAAAAAAAAAAACACGTGGCGTTTGGTTTTAATGGTCATTGCTGATGCAGAACTGATCAAGTCAGTCACTTGCTTCTCTCGGGGGAGGGGGGGAACAGCTCTCATTTAACCAACTTGTAGTAGATTTCTGCTTTACTAGAAGCATAACCCAGAAAATCAGTGATGTGAAGAAATAAAAAACAAAACTTGCTGCCATGCTGTGCAATCTACCATTGTGGCTTTTGTTTGGTGCCAATTTGGATGTGTCAATAAGAAAAGGAGGCACTCAATCTTTTCATGCTCTGACAATTGGATGATGGCCGGAACAAGTGATTGGAACACAAATATGCAGGCAATCAGTTCAGTTAGGATTTTCATACAGAATCACTTTTCAATGAAAAACATTGGCACAATTTTTTTTTTTTTTTAAATAATAAAAACATGATCCTTATCTTAAAAATAAATTTAAGAAAAACATTGAAACCTGGTAGCAATCAAAGGATGAAAACCTCTCAGATTAGGACATCAGTTCAAACAGAGCCATCTAGGTTGCTACTGTCACCATTTTGGCATTAGTATTTCTAGCCACCTTTAGTTTAAACTTCTGTGATTTTCAAAGCAAACCCTTTATTCAATCAACAGAGACAGATGGTTCTCACCCTTTTGCTTATCTTCTATTTGTTGATTCAATCTTTTGACTTTTCTCACTACCCAACCCAGGGACTGAAGTCACAATATCCTGATAAAGCATTGTTAAAAGTGAATCAAGTTTACTCACTAGGCTCAGTGTCCTGGAGGACACTTTAGTAGTGAAAACTTGGAGCCTTAAACCTAATGTTGCTTGTTTGCCTCTAAATTAAGTAGAGTAACATGACACTTTTTTTCTTTCTTTTTTACACAAGCTGTAGTGTAATTAAGTGATGGCATTTTTTAGTCTTAGACATTAATATTCTTTCTTAATTGTAAACTCCCATAAATGTGTTTATTTCTATGCTATGTCTACTATGAAGGTATTTAGCATCTCACATGTGCGTCAATTCATTCAGTTTCTGTTATCCTCTTATTTCACATTGCACCTACAAAATTTTGCTATATATTTTGTGTCCATGGAAGAAGCAAAGGATACACAACTAAGATGAATTAACTGATATAAGAAATGAAAACAATATCCTTGTGAATTAAATAACGGAATTCTTGGAATGTTAACAACTATGAGTGAAACATTACAATTGCCTTCCATCAGCATGGCTGATGCTAACCTCCAGGAGAGTCACCTTCTCTGATTAACATTTCTGTTGACAAAGTGGAAAGATTATATTGAATCAATTGATAGGTTTGTTGCTAGGAAAATTAAAAAAATTTCCTCTTTGTTACCTGAATGTTATGAATTTAAGAGCCGTATTAGATTGGCAGCAAAGTCTCATCATTTTACAGTTGAAATTGTTAGATGAAACTGTAAGTTCTATGATAACAGTTTCATCTCTCGCTCTTCTCGCTTGTGGAACTCTCTTCTAGCTTCTTTTTTTCTAGTCAACTTTGATATTGGAATTTAAATTTTTGAAGTTCAATCATTATCTTCTATATTCCGGTTCTTTCTTTCTTTCTCACACTCGGTAACTTGCCTTGCTTAGGGTGAAATGATTTAAGAAAAAAAAAAAAAAAAAAAAAGATATGCATGGCCACAAATTCATTCAGAAATGTCTAAATTGTTGGTTGTCTACAAGTTTCCTCAGATTGGGTTTCTGTTATTTGTTAGCCATCAGTCACTTGAGGACTTTCAACAACGCAACAACTAAAATGGATGGCACATGTAACTCAAAGAGAAAATGATAACAGAATCAAGATGCTAATATTCCACACTATTTAAAATAAAATGCAAAGAAAGGAAACTCCCCCCCAATAGTAAAGAAAAGAGCAATAACAGCTAGTTGACTTGAGAAATCTATTTTCCTGCAAAATTGTTTTCAGAAAAAGATTTGATATTTCAACTGAATATAGCTCTGGCTGCCTGGTCAATGTATTCTAAAGGTTTCCTTATTGAGTAAAAAAAAAAACTTTCAATACATGACAGGTTTTCATACTTGAGGAAATGAAAATTATTCACATTATTATTCTCATCTTTTCTTGTTATAGACAACATTTCAGTACTTTTTCTTGTTCTGTTGGTCTGGTCCAGGGATTGAACTCATGACCACTAAGTGACTGCAATATATTAACTAAAGTTTATATCCACTACATTACTGCCCCAAAAGGTCATTAGGTTGCATATTTGGGGAGAGCTTTTAAAACCTAATGTAAAGTTTTATCATGGCAGGTTAGAACCATTTTTTCCTTTCTTGACATCTTAAGAAGCCAATAAAGTTAAAAAATATTAATGTTAGCGACTAAAAAAAAGATTTCAATTTGAAAGTTGTTTTGAATACTTAATGATTCCAAGAGAAGTATTTGCATTTCTGCATATTTCTATTTGCAGGTATTGCCTATGAGTAGCTGTGACAATTCTCCAGATGACGGAGCTTACATCTATGGCCTATTTTTGGATGGGGCCAGATGGAACCGAGAAGAGTAAGAAACAGTTTTCTTTTGCCGATTGTTTAGATCAAAAACTGTCAACTGCAAATAGCAAAATATTTTCATTTTTCAAAAGATACTGTCGCATTTAAAGAATGAGCTGATCCTGCCAGAGTTGAAGGAATTCCAGCCTCAGATGAATTAAAAGAAACTTGTTCCATTAACAAAATTTTAAAAAGCCCCTTAAGTCTAAACATTCTGTTAAACAATTCAGCATTAACTTTCTTAAACTAGTTTTGGCAATTTTTTCATTTTTCTAAATTCTCACAATTCAAAATTTACATCCAAGTCATTGGAACAAATAAAAACCTCACAAGTTTACAAAAAAAAACAAAAAAAACTTATAGAAATTAAATTATACAAAACATGCAGATTATTGTCCTCATCTTTGTTTTTGTTGTTATAACATTTTCACTGTTGTGCCTTCATCACCTTCAGGGAATTTCAAATTGAACCCTTTATTTAATCTACAGGGATAGACTGTTCTCATTTCATTGACCATGTCTATGCATATGCCTAGTACTGCTCAGTTATGACCGGCTTATTTGCCACAGAGTCCAAGTACACACCACCTATCCCTTGATATGAGCAGTGAAACAAGAACAAACATTGTGATAATGAAAACAAAGAAGCAGACAATATTCTGTGTGTAAATGATGCTAACGTAGAAATTCAAAGAGAAAATATACACAAGATCTTTTAACAAATAAAAGGACCTTTGACTTAAACTTAAAACCCAAATTGTATTGTTTTTGCCAAGAAGCTCAATCAGGACATTTAGTTGTCTTTGCTGAACTTCTGCTTGTTCCCACCTTAAATATAGTGTCTGACCGATTCTTTATTTTTCCCAACTTTGCAGAGGATTATTGGCCGACCAATTACTTCGCATCCTGGTGGAAGCAATGCCAATCATTTGGCTGAAACCCAGCAACAAAGACACCATCAGTGAAGACAATGAACGCTATGAGTGCCCAGTCTATAAGACAAGTGAAAGGAAAGGCACTCTCTCTACAACTGGTCATTCCACAAACTTTGTGCTGTCCATTCTGCTTGACACAAACAAACCTGTTCAACATTGGATAAAGCGAGGCACAGCCTTGCTTTGCCAGACTGACGACTAAAAACATTGGAAGATTTTAAAAATGTCTGGGAAAGAATATCACCAGAAAATGTCCTGAAATTTTGACAGAGAAACAGACTAAAAGAGTCTCGGCATCTGATCTGTAATATGATGCGGGGGGGGGGGGTTGTTCATATCCATTCCAGTCTGCTGACAGGAAGTCCACAATATCATCTAAAGTTTTAAAATAAAGAGAACACAAAATTTGAAACTCGTCAATTGTTTAATCAAAGAATTTGTTTAGTCTTAAATGATGCGAGCAAACAAAACATTTATAAAGTTAATTTATTTTAAATAAATAAAAAGTTTGTTGAAAAGAAGATTTACCCAGAAAAGCCTCGTAGAACTAATAAAACTTGTTTATTTTTCATTATTTTTAATTAATAGGATGAATAATTCCATGGTAAACACAAGGATTGATGTTGTCAAGCCTTTCAGTTGTTAGCAAATGGATTTCCCTATTGTGTTAACTTTCTTTCTATCTTACTGTCAGGTTTCATTTTCTTTTTTATAACTATGGTTACCAGATTTGACAAATAAAAATCCAAGACACTGCTCAAAATTTAAATTCAAATGATTTCTAACATTTTTCAGTATATCGGATTGTCTCAGGTAATGATATTCCAATTTACATGCCTATTAATGGATAAATAGAAAGGCAGTTGTAGTCATTTTATCTAGGTGGATATTTTTGAGAACAAAAATACAGTTTGGTAGCCACCATATCTAGAAACATTGTCTTCTGGTTGACAAAAAAAAAAAAAAAAAAACAAGAGACTGGATAACAGGTTGGTACTCTCGATCTTGTTAAAAAAAAAAAAAAAAAAAATGAATACAATTGCTATAGAAACACTGAATAAAATTTTCACTCAGTCAAAATGGAACTGTTTTCCAATATACCATATTACATGGGAAGTCCTACAACTACATAACCAGTGGTGGAACATGTGGTAGTGGCTCAGGGGTGTAAAAATTGCTTGGTGACTAGCAAGTTTATTACTGGGAATAAATTGCAAGTGAAATGTTCCACTTACAATATATTGTAGAAAAAAAAAAACTCACATTCATGTGCTTCTCTCCCTCCCTCCTCACCGAAGTGTTTTCTACCTTCCTTTATTGGCAAACTTTTAGGCTAGGGATGATAATTGGAATCATAATATTACACCCCCCCCCCTTTTATAAAGAATTAAGAAAAAGAAACGAGGAAAATAAAAAAGAAACGAATAAATAATCTTATTGGTAGCCTTATTATACGGATGGATCTGGTTCTTATGTGTGTTGTCATGCTACAGAGTAGATTTGCATCAAACATTTTATGTGTGGCATATCGGCTTGGGTCATCTGGTGGTGAGTTAGTCTCAACTCTTGGTGTAGAGATTCAGGGTTGATCTTTGATGAGAGATTCCAGGTGGATGTACTTTATGACTTGTTTTGGTTTGGGATGAGGCTTCCCTCAGGTGCTGGCAGTTTCTGTGGAAGATTTGTCTGGATGGAGTCCAGATGATTGTGGTTCAGTGCATGCTTGCATCACAACTGCAGTCATCCATATACCTGCATCCTTGTTGAGCACTCTAACATGCTGTCCTATCCAAAAATTGGGGAGATCTCGTGTGTTGGTCATAATGTTTTCTGTCCAGCTTATCTCTGGTAGAATCGAGCTGATATTCCCTCTTTTTGCATGAAGGGATTGGCACGTTTTACTGGAATGTTGCTAACCAGTTTTCTGGCAACAGGATTGTATGGGCTATCAGAGATGCTCAGAGGCATAATAATACCGTGTCAATGTCTCAGCTGCTTGATTTAGCCTTCTTGATGGCAGATTTCATTGACTGCATGCAACGTTCTGCAAGGCCATTTGATTGTGAATATTTTGGAGATCATGAAGATGGTCAAATCCCCATTCTTTTGCAAACTATTTAAATAGTGTTGAGCTGCTGTTGTTGATCACCCTGTCTAGGATTCCTTGTTCCCCAAATATTTGTTTGATTTGGAAAATTCACTTAAGCTCTGTATAAAAGCGTATTTGGAGTAACGATCAACCTAAAGTTGGATCTGTCTATATTTCTGAGATGAGGTATTATGTACACTATTTACATTATTCAGACTATTGTCCTCATCTTTGTCGCTATATTTATTACAGCATTTTGGCCATTGTACACTCTGGCCTTCTTCAGTATCTGTCTATATTTCTAAGATGAGGTATTATGTACACTATTCGGACTATTGTCCTCATCTTTGTCACCATATTTATTACGTTTCCTCAAGGACACAATGGATAAAGGCATTGACTAGATCCAGTGACAGGACCCAAAGAGTTGTCAATACCAGGTTATGGTAATAGAGAACTTGTAGAGGGGAATTAACAGGAGATAACTGATAACTGACATCCATTAGACATGGAACGAGAACAGTCTACCCCAGTGAACGAATTAAAGGGTTCAGTTCGACATTTCAACCACCTGAAGAAGGCCGGAGTGTACAACGGCCAAAACATTGTAATAAATATGGCGACAAAGATGAGGACAATAGTCCGAATAATGTAAATAGTGTACATAAAGTTGGATCCATTGAATTGGGACAAGGCAGTGGCCACTATTTGCCATTGTCTTACCTGGACCTCATGTGGCATCAGAGATTCAGCACTTTGCATTTATGGTGTTTTTCACATAGTTGAATTGTCCTGTCAATGCCTTGTATTCCAGAACATACTGCTTTTTTGCTCTTCTCACTCCTTTGGTGGCCATAGTGGATCTTGTGCAGTACCTCTTGTTGCATGCACTGTGGGATAATAATCCGATCACCCTTGATCAAAATCCCATTTTCAAATTGCTAGCTCATCATTATATAGAAAGTATGGTCACATCTTCTTGACAACTCTTTGAATGTGTGAGACGAACCTCTCAGAATCGTGTCCGTTAGTTTGCACAATGTTGGGTCAGCATTTCTGATCAGTTGCACTAACTTTTCTGCTGAGAAAATTGAATGAAGTTGACTTTTAATGTCAAGATCAATTGCTCCCTTCTCTTTCTTGTTAGGGAGTCTGGAAAATCCATCATTTCTTTTTCCTGTAGCTGTAATAGCATTTGCTGGGGACGAGGCAGAGATGCAATTAGGTTTTTCACGTTGATCATCTCTAGTGGTTTGTGATCACTATCCACTTGGAAAAGCACTCCCATAGGTGTACGTTAGAAAATGCTAACATCCAAATACAACGGCTAGAAGTTCCCGTTCGATGATGTGTGCCATTGGTCTATTTCCATCAGAGATTTTGATGCAAATGCAATGGCGCTTCCATCCTGCAGAAGAGCTGCACCCAGGCCTCTATTGGATGCACTGACCTGGATTACAGTTCATTTATCAGGATCAAAGTAAGTCACTAGCATCTCTTTGCAAATCAGGTCTTTGATTTGTTAAAAGGACTTTTAGCGACTTTTAGTCCACCTGTATTCTGTTTATTTTTTTTTTTAGTAGATCTCTCATAGGCCATGTGAGATCAGAGAGACTCAAAAGATGCAATATAAGCGATGATTCCCAGAATTTTGTGTAATTCTGTGACATTTGTCGAGCTGGGCAATTTCTTTATTTCATCCACCTTACTAGGATTTAGGCATACCCAATTCTAATCATAGATGGCTCCAAAGAAATTTATTTCCTTCTGGTTGATTGTGCATTTGTCACTGTTGAACCAGAGCCCTTCATTAAGTTGTGCAGATTCCAGTTGTGTTCCCATGGTTTTGCCATATGCTACATCATCGATTTAACCAAGTGTCCTTAGGCATTATATCATGTCCATTTTTCGCTGGGTTACATCTTGGGACATTACCAAAAGGTATTCCGGAAGCAATATCTTCCAAAGAGTGAGTTGAAAGTGGTCAGTAGCTGTGAATCAGAGTCAAGTGAGATTGAACAGTATTCATTTTTGGCATTCAGTTTGGAAAAGTACTTGGCACCAGAGAGTTTGTGTGCAAGCTCCTCTATTGTAGTCGTCATATGGTGACATCACATGATAGATCCCAAAGATCTAAACAGGGCTAAGCAAAGATAATGTTTGCCATTGCAAACATACACTAGGCTGTTAACCCATTCCATAGGCTCACATACTCTATACCATGTTTCACCATATCATCTAACTTGGTCTTGATCTCATCTCTCATATGGGTGAGACATTTCCTAGATGCATGGATTACATGGTGTTTGTCCAGTTTTAGGACAATGTTATTCATCCACAAAATTGCTTATACAGTCAAATTGATCTGTGTACATGTTTATTCGGTCATTTGCAGATTTGATCTTAGTTGGAGTTTTTTGAATGATGCAGTTCAACCCCAGGTCTCTGACAAAGGGAATTCCTAATATAGTAGGTCCCTCTGAGGTCAATGCATAGAATTTCAATGTGTTCCACTTCCCTTTGTATGAACATTGTATTTTAATGGATCCATGTTAAGTGATGCCGGAGCCATTATATGTAGTCGGTACAGCCGACTCATTACATGTTGCATCAGGGAGTGGCTGTCCAGAAAGGTTGATTTTTTGGGGGAAACATCTTACAGAATGTTCGTAAAGGGAGGTTATTTCCTTCAGCTCCTGTGTCAACCTTAGCCTTTAGTTTATGAGTACCTCATAGATTGGGAAGCCTGCAATGAAGATCTGCAAAAGCCTCAGTCCGAGTGTCTTGTTTATTATGATGCTGAATTGAATCAAAAGACATTGGCTCAAAATGTTCATATAACTCATCACTGTCATCCTGGCAGGCATTTATTGAGTTGACACAGTTACTGCATTTCCTATCCTGGGGCCCAGGTCTAAATTTTTGGCCCCTTTTCTGTGTTCATTTTTGTTGTTACAAACTTTTACCCAGTGATTTTTCTGTCCACATGTTGAACATGCAGTACCCCAAGCAGGACATTTACCTTTTTGGTGGGAGTTAATGCTACCACATCACTTGCAGAGGTTGCATCCAATTGCATTGATTTCTTGGCTCTTTCCTTCTTGGATTTTGGC